ACACCCTAACTGACACGATTGCTGCAGATTCCATCAACCTCCTTTGGTACTCTGACTCAGGATCGTGACCCGGGAGGCTCCTCTCCCGCTCGGTTGTAGGACTTGAGTGGAGGATTTCCGACGTCAAGCGCCAGCCCCGCCGGCTAGGCCCCTAGGCCCTAGGCCCTTTCAGACTCATTGTTGAGTCCTTTCTGTATTGAGATTCCTTTCAACCTGAGACTCGAGAACTAATGACACGACCATCTGAAAGCAGAACGTTTTGATTTCTTCCACCCCCAAATAGGGGCCAGGGCCACCCCATCGAACGAGAACGAGAACGAGCACAGTTTAAGATAGTTTAAGGTCGTATCGAAACACGCCAGAGCTTAGAATTTGCTTTCGACGACGGCAGGTTTGGCTCTTCTCGGGGGTCCGTGAAGGCTCCGAGAAGCGGAAGGTCGCCGTAGACGGGCTGCTGGATATGCTCCTGCTCCCGGCACCTGAGCAAAAATACGGATCTGCAGAGGGCAAGAGCTTGAGTCTTGCAGCTTCAGGTGAACATCATCTTTTTCTGTGCGGTGTGTGTCCGCGTTCTGAGACTCGGAGAGGGCAAGAGCTTTGCTGTTTGGGAGGGGCTTTCTCAGAGGACGGGTTCCAGGAAGGGCAGACATGGTCAAACGGCCACTATACGATGCTTCCTTGGTTTGTGATCTCACAGCACTTGGGCGCTATGTAGGGCTGTGGCCTTGCTTGCCTGAGGAAACTTCAGCCCGATACGCAGATGGGAAAGCTGCTCTGATGCGTTCGGTGATATTTCATCCGCTGGTCCCCCGAGAGCCGGCAATGTGACTCGCAACACGTGATGCCGGCCATAACTCCCAAACTACTGCTTCGAAGCTCGGTGCTGTTTCTCGACTAGGATGGTCCCGGTCATCATCGAAAGTGGTGACATCTACGAAGCCTTTGCTCTTTGGTCAGTGCTGGTTCTTTTCGTCAAGGCCATGCATTGTGTATGTGCTGAGAGAGTGCCCAGCCGCCTGCCGAGAAGCTTTCCAGGTGGTGCAAGCCGAGATGGCCGGTGACAGCCACTCCAATGCCATGAGCTCCTTCAGGCGACTATGTAACTGTGCAGGCAGCGCATGGCAGCGCCAGCTTTGCCTGAGGTCCTTCAAGGCAATCAGTTTGCAGGGCGTCAAAGCTTGGGTATTCATCCAGTCAGCGGCCGTCCTTTTGCCGCTTGCCATTATCACACCCTGCTGCGAACGCTGCGATCGTGTCAGGGAAGTTGCAAAATGCCCTCCTAGGAAGCTCGCTCTTCAAGGCGTCGTGGCGGTGTACGTCCCAACCTTCTGCTACTGGGCTTCGAAGTCCTGCACCAGCTGTGAGCAGCTTTACGAGGCCGGGTTCCGTGTTGAGTCTCATGGATTTGGGGCTTCCAGACTTGCCAGGAAAACATCGCCATCGCCCTCTCTGCTGTGACCTTCTTGCTTTGCTCCCTGCCTGTAGATGTCCTGAGACAATCCGAGCTCTTACGAACTGCAGAGCGCAGGCTCCTTTGCCATCATGTTCGTGTTTTACTTCGAGTCTGGATACCGCCACCACTTGGAGAAAACCGAGCCTCTGTGGGGATCTTAGCCTTTCGCGCTTGCTGCACCTGTGAAAGACACCAATCGCACAGTGCAGGTGGAAGTTCCTGGGCGTGAAAGGCAGGGCGTACGAACAGCGACCAAGCACATGTAGTAGCATTGGGCCAGTCGCAAGATGATTTTTGCTGTGGGGATTCTGCCTAAAAGGGCACAGATACTTGTGCAGGCATCGTTTCCGTGACCTACTTTCAGTGGCTGGTTATCTCTGTCCTGGCCTCGCCTCTGAAGTGGACCGGAAATCAGGTCTACCTGTTCCACTGCCACTTGGTGACACTTCTATCTTCGCTACTGTGGCGGTGAGGACATCCGCAAAGTGCACTCCTGTTCGCACTGCAGGCTTGCTCTATGCATTCTGGATGCCACTGCTTGCGCTGGTGCACACCTTCCTGGCTTCCCGGCGGGTGACAGGAAGTGTTCCCGTCGATGGAAGCGCTTGTGGCGCGAACACAGCGAGCTGAGGCCTATCCGTTCTACTCCTTTCGCAGCCAGAGCTCGGACAGCGACAAGGGGTGCAGGGGTCATCTTGTGCAGCGAGGGATGCTTGGAGCTCGGCTGGGCCCCCTGGTGCATTGTCGCAGGACCTCGCCCCTTGGCTCCTTGCTTGGCTTAAGACTCTCGGCGTCGGCGAGGAGCGCGCTGGGACGCAAGGTGTACATGTCTGCCCCTGTCCCTGTCCCTGTCGCCGCTCGCTCTCCTCTCTCCGTGTGTGTCTCTGCACGGAGATGACACTGCAGCAGCAGAAACGTGTGGCATGACATGTTGCCGTGGCGTGCTATGCTGTAGAAGAGCACAGCTCGTGCTCCAAGGCACTCCAGCTGTCGTTTAGAAGACATAGTACAGAATCATTCGCAGGACGTCAAGTCATCAGGTTGATTTGTGTACGTAGTCTTTCTCCAGTACATGTGATGATAAGTTGAGCCGAAGACAAGGAGCCATATCGATATGTGGACGATGTTGACCATACAGAGAGGATCATGTACAGCTTGTTCATGCGCTTTTTCTTGGTTCCATACAGCAGACATTGGCTGCAGTAGCCCTCAGTCATGTCAAAGTAGGCTCAAGCAAGGACCTGCCTTCCTCCTCCACAGCCTCCTTACCATCCATCTCGGGAACAATCGATAGCGACACGGCCTGCACTGAGCCGGGCTGAGTTCGCAATTTTGAGGGCCATGAGTCAGAAACCCTTCAACCGCGGCTTCTCTTGCGACATGCATGCACTAACTGCGGCCCCCTCGATTCCTCAAAGGTGCGCCGAGCCACGAATCCTCAAAGGTACCGGAGCAACGGTGGGTTCAAGACTATGGCTTGTTTGGTAGGCAAAGGGTTGCCTGAAGCCATGCAGGAGGAGCTGCTGCGCGGCAGAGACCCTCCGTTAGATGTCTGGTGGTGGATGTCTTGGTGTATGTCTATGGTGGATGTCTGTCATGGATATCTGTGGTGGATGTTTTGGTGGATGTCTTGGATGTTTCGGTGGATGTCTGTCCTCAAACGTATCATCGCTGGTCCGATCCCGGCCACAGCCAAGGTTCGATCTGTCCTAGCAAACCTTGAGTTTCGATGGTATTCAGGAGCCTTTGTGTAACTTCTTGCCCCGTGAAATGACCAAACCTTGCCGATGCCGAGCTGATGTGAACTCTGGCAAAAAGACGCGAGCAACGTCGCAGCAAGAAGTCCTGAGGCCAGCTGCAAGTTTTGACGGTAAGCGAAGCCGAGGCCGCTCCGAGGTGCTTCTGGACGGTGCCTGCGAAGTGCGGAGCATGAGTAGCGCCTTGGCTCGTTTCCGTGGCCGTGGACGGATGCAAAACGACCGCGGGGGTGTGTTGCCCTTGCAACTTAGGAGTGTCATCGGAACTGCTCACCCACCCAGCGTCTTCCAAATGCCAGCTGCTGGTCTACTTCACCGTGGGCTTGCTGTCCTGCGTCGTAGCCATGAAGCACTGAGAAGAATTTGTTCCTGCCTTCAGCAGGCAAGCTCGACGGCTTTTTGGAGCATTTTGCAAGCTTGTGTTTGGGACGTTCCACGACCGCAGGCACATAGGTTGCGTGGGCAAGTTCGAAGACTCCAAGTCAATACGATTGGCTGTTTCTCGCTTCCTTAGAACTTGCAAATTTCGAGTCTCAGAGCCTATCAAAGGCACACAAAATGAATCGTACTCTTTGTCGCTGCCTGCCAAGGTTTGTCGGAGCATTCACTGGTTTCCGCAGACCATAGCATCGATGTGATGGTTCGCACCCTTACTCATCACCCAGACGCTACCGCAGTCGAAGGAACCTCCAAAGGATTGCTACTATCAGCGTAAAACAACCGTCTCGAGCGGCCCTCATCAGCATCATCTGTTCGAAATTTTAGTTGCCTTTGTGGCATCGGAGGAGAGGAAGGCTAAGCTGTAGGCATAGCTAGGGCTTTGGGGGATGTCGACCGAGGCAAGCTCCAAGGCCCTGCTGATGCTCCTCCCGGCGGAGGCCACGCCCTTCGAGGCACGCGTCGCGCTTTTTTCGCGAAGCTGGCCTTCTGCCCGCCTGCAGCGAAGCGTCGTGTCCAGGCCCCGCTCCGCAATATCTCCTGCGCAGGCCCTCGGCCTCCCTCGGCCCTCTGCGCATGCAGACTGTCTCTGCGTTTCATACAGGCCAAGGTGATCTGGCACACTTTCTGCTGACTCGTCAGGCCAGTGGCCAAAACTTGTGTTGCAAGTTGGAAGTCCGACGTGTGTCGCTCAGGACTTGCATTTTGCGATGCTCAATGACACAGCTGAGCGATGGCGTCAACCTGAGATACTCCGCGAAGGGTAGCAACACATAGGGGGCGACTCTGCCTGGCCGCTGTCCATGGATGTTACTTTGATCGTGCGACGTCGCGCGAGGCCAGCAGAGAGCTGTACTGAGTCGACCGAGGTCATCTCCCGGGGTCGCCGGCGCATGGTTGCCTCTCTGTTCAGCCACTGCTGTGGGTTGTGCCCCAGGCCAGGAGATTGAATTCCTAGGTCTGCGTCTCGAGCTCCCTTGGCAGCGCTCTCTGTCCAACCGTATCCGGCGTGCCCGTAGCGCGAAGTATCGAGTTAGGAGAAAGGCCCTTAGTCCACAGGTCACTTCGCAGACCGCCTGGCGCCATCGGTAGGCTGCTCTGCCAAAGGCCACCAGAGACCTGAAATCAGAAGGCGCTGAATTGCCTGAGCCGACAGGCGTCTATACCTACACTGGCTCGTGCAGCGCCATCTCCTGCGGGGTTCCTCCACACCTGCCACATGCCGTTCCGCGGATGCATGCTCCGCGGCACCATTTCGTAGGGTTTCCTGAGATAAAAATGACAGAAAGAGAGCCAGGGAGATGGAGAGTGAGTTGGAGTGCGAGTGAGTCGTGATCGTGTGAGTGCGTGGGTGTACGCATGGGTGAGTGCATGAGTGACTTAGTGAGTGATTGGGTCAGTGGGTATTTAATTAAGCTTGTAGGTAGCTAAAGAAACACGTGCCCCGGACATGTTTCCTAGGGGCGTAGTAATAGGTGTGTAGGTTAGGGCAGACCAAAGACCGAACAACCGAATTGTTGGCTCAAGGAAAACAAGCGTGATTGCATTGCTTGTTACACTTCCTCGTTTGAACACGTGTTTCTCTGGTGTTCTTCTGGTTAACAGATTCAACTCATTTGTCGCTGTTCATACTTGTCTGTGGCTAGATGAGTCTAGAGCCTCGACCTGAGACATAGCCCTTCATACTCGCAACTCCACCGCACTTGGGTGTAGAGGTTGGCATCGCATTGCGTAGGTCCGGCACGACCTGCCTTGTACTGTCAGCTCCCTGCATAGCCTAGAGCCAAGCCTCCACGTAGCGCATTCCATATCGAATAATGTACATCAATCATTGGATCCAACTCAGCACGAGTTTACGTGAGAAACAGCTTACCCGCATCTTCAGCAATCAGCCGTTGAATCTGTGGACCCGGCTGTTGCGAGCCTTGAGGACCTGGGTGTTGCCCCCCATTGGTTGTGCATGCCCACTACTGAAGTGTATCCTACGATCATTGAATCGCTGCACGAATGGGTTATCAACTTATACTACAGCATCAGGATTTGAGTACTTGAAACGTTCTTTCCCACTTGTCTTCGCATTCGCAGAAGGTGGAATAGGACAAGAACATGTTGGAGAAGGTTTGCTCGCAGGTCCATTGATTCGTGGTATCGCACATCCTTCTTACTGTACCAACTACATCAGGTTCATCGGTTTACGCAATTGCGATACGCAGACGACAGGCTAGCTCTTGGTGCTCCTCGGTGCTTTCCGTGATCAAGACAGCGAGGTCAGTGCATTGCGTTTGTGTTTAAGGCGTACCTTGGGTAACCTGTTGGCATCCCGCCACTGGTTAGCCTAACCGAGCCGCATCACAACTTCCCGACATCCTAATTCGAGATTGGGTGAGCACCTGAGTGACTCGCCAACAAGCTTCAATCAAAGATTGTGATCATAATCCATCCACCTCTTGCGAGACCGAAGGCTTACGGCTTCGCCTCGAAGTCATCGTCCAACGATATTGAAGGCAACAGCTGCGATCTCCTGGCTTTTCCCGTTTGAGGTAGAGGATTCAGGGTTGATTGCATCAGTCCCCCCCTGAAGAGCCCGCCTCTGGAATAATTTCGCCACACCGAAGATCCAGAATGCAAACAGCCAAAGGTAAAGGTTCGCTGTAACATCCGAAGTTCAAAGACCGCACTTGCAGCACATTCGTGTTGGCCCGAAGCCGCAGGTGCGCTGAAGCCCGTGGTTGGCGTTGTTAGGGGTTTTCACTCCCTATTGTGTTCAGTGACATCGAAGCGCTGACACGACACCTGACATACGAACCACTGTAACGGCAGGGGTTAGGGTGATTAAGCCAACACGTCGGCAACGGGTCTTTGCTTTGATGGCAAGGGTCGAAAGCAAAGGATTGCGTCAGCCTGAAGCTTGAAGTTTTCAGGGTATTATGACGGACCTTCGCCCGACCGCTTTTCATGGCCCGTTATGGGATATTTCTGCTGACGCGGATCACTGTGGCCTAGCAAGCTCCTTCCGAACATTGGTTCGAGGCGGCAAAAATAAGAAGCCCCGGAAGAACTGGATTTGCCAGACCATCGTGCTCAACAGGTTGTCGGAGGTTACGCACCCGCCTTACGAGTTTTTTCTAAGCGTTTCATTGTTCCCCGTGGACTTTGCCATTCCATTTTCTAGCGCAACGGACGCGTTTTTTGATGCACCCGTGACAACGATTGCAGAGCCATTTACTCCACCAGCCAGCACGGAGATTGCAGAGCCACTTACTCCGCCTGCCAGCACGGAGAGATCAAGATCTCCACCTCGCCATTTGTCGTATCCAATCAATCCTCCACCAGCTCCTAGGCCCAAGTAAGCGGGGTACGTACACGTGAACCTCCGAATCCTAGGCCTCGCACCTTGGGGTAAGAACGCCTGCGCCGCCAGTGGTTACTAGGGAAAAAGACCCAGGAAGCTCATAAATTGTCACTGTCTTGAAGCGACGAGCACAGCCCCCCGGGACATTAACAGCGAAGTGTTGAGTCAGGGACTTCAGAGCACAGGGCTGAGTTTCCATCAATAGCTGAATCATTCGATGATCGCAGCTCGGGTGTAGAAACCTCAGACAATAGCATTCGTCGGTGGACAGCAGAGCAGTGGCAGACTTGGAACCGCCTCAGCGGATGGGGTGCGTGGCAGACCACTGGTTCCCAAGCAGAACGCACGACCATCCTCGAGACATGCGGCTGCCAATGCAATTGTGCGCGAAACGTCTACTGCGCCGGAGCCGCGAACAATCCGTGTCGATGAGGAGGAGGAGGAGGAGGGGGGGGGGGAGGAGGAGGATCCGGAGGAGGAGGAGGAGGCGTTCAGGAGCGCTGTGGAGAGGCCGAAGCAGTACAATACGATGGACATCGCTCACGTTGTGTCAGCTGACTTCAATTTTACGGCGTGATTAATAAGAGCGAGGAGGCATCCCTTCGGTTATGAACCTATTTGCAGCCCTGAACGTGCGGCCAGAGATTTTTGGACTGGTGGTCAGCAGATGCAGCACGGAGCGGTTGATAGTTGGTTCTATTGCTGAAATCAACGTCTTTGAGAGATCAAGCTACCGTGTGAGGCCGGTACCATTGTTCTTTTGCCGGAGGCTGACCGGGCGTTGGGGCAAGGCTGCCAAGTTGTTTTCTGTCGCGAGATCTTTTGCTCCCGATGCGCCCTTTTTGCACTGCGATTTTAGCTAAGCTAGGCCAGCCCGAATGCAGCAACAAAGTCAAAGTGCCCGATGAACAGAATTAGCGCATGGTTGTGCCTCCGCTGCCTTCAGGTGAGGGTCGAGCTGGAGAGATGTGAGTAGATGTGGCATGTGTGGCACACAGCCGAACATGTTCATCGCACACAAAGCGCACAAGGCAATATAATATTTTGCGATCGGTGCACCTGAGCTCGTAGCCATGAACGCCATGGCTGCGATCGATGCCGGCATCAAGGGTGCGGCGCCACGGGTCGGCGAGCTGCTGTGGCAGCTGAATGTTCCGGAAGCCAGGCACCGGCAAGGTGCACTGTTGACAGTGTGGCCTGTGAGCTGGCAGGTGACCACCTGCTCAGCCTCGTGAACCACGCCTGCGTCCCGAATGCCATTGTCGTGGAGTCGTCTGCCAGATCCCTGGTCGTCGAATAGCACGGCCTTGAGACATGTCTTATCATCCTGCAACGAGGTGGGGACTTGAAAAGCCATCGAGCCGGGGCAGGAGGTCACCATACGTTACCCGGATCAGGACGGGCCTCTTGAGCTCCAAAACGTGCATCTCTGGCAGGATGTCCCACAGCCTGGCTTTTGCAACGACTTTCACAAGCAAACCCACATATTCCACATCAGGTATCCTCACCTGCGTCGAAACAGGATCTTTGCGATTCCCTGTCTTCTGGTCATCTCGTAAGCAGTCTTCGGTAGGGCGCTCAACCCCTGAGGGCAGAAGCGATCGCTATGAGTACCGGGATGCTTTCCGAAGAAATAAGCACCCAGTCAGTCTTGCAGCACATGTTGGGTTACTGTTGCAAGACAACATACCATCAGGACGAAGCGTTGTTGACAATTCTCGCTAGATGTTGTAGCGCAAAGCTCAGACATTGTGCTAGAGTGCACCGCATAAACATCGCCTCGATGTCAGAGCAGATAGATGATGACTTTGTTGTCGCGACGTACTGTCCTGCAAAAAAAACACATAGCAAACGGACTCGCTAAAGCAATAAACCCTTGCGAATGGCCCCGAGATGCTTGTTCAACTACCGATACCTCCATTTCGACGGACGGACCTTCGGAGTGACGAACCTAAGAATTATGCAAGAGAGCCAAGTGTTCCAACAAGGAAGTGTAACAAGCAATGCAATCACGCATGTTTTCCTTGAGCCAAGAGTGTTCGGTTGTTCAGTCTTTGGTGTGTCCTAACCCACGCTCCTATTATGGAAACATGTCCGGGGCAAGTGTTTTTTAGCTCCCCTCTGTAGGACGTGTCCAAAGCTTCGGCCTGCACAGATGAGTGTATGTACATCTACATCTGTCTCCGGTTGCTCCAGCTTAAATCCTGTTCGCGCAGCGTGTGCCGGTCATGACGACTCATGTTCTGCGCGTTTCTGATGCTGAAGGCAACTATTGTGAATCTTTGACTAGGATTGCTCGTGGCAACGGAAGAATGCCAATGTGTTGGGTCAAACCTTGCGGGACTCTTCAAGAGAAATCACTCCTGGCACCGGGCATGGGGAGTCTCCGGACTGATCTTCAACCCATAAGATCGCATCTGCACACGGGATCAAATTCACGAGTAAGTTCTCAGAGCCCGGTGCGTTGTGTGAATCCCTGTGCAACGGTGCCATGACACCTTCCTGAAGCACTACTGTTGTGAAACTATGCGAAGGAACTAGCTGTGCAAATACTACAGTCGACTTTGGGAACATCCTTGTCAAACTCTTTATAACTTATAACTAGGACTCCTCCGTGAACGAAGGCACCAGATGTAAAAGAGTGCACGTCACTTGCAAAATCTGCTCTTGCAGACGTGGCAGATAGGATAGCAGTTGTACTCAGTGTTGCTTGTTTATGCGCCGTGGGCAGGCTGCCAGCAAACGCTTCAGCTCGTGCTAAGATAATCAAAGCTTTGTCTTCTTTGGGGAGTAGCTTAAGACCCCCGACCAGCGGACCGTTTGAGAGCTGGAAGACTGAGCGAAAATTCAAATGCGACCCAGTTGAATGGGCGCTGCCGGACCGAAACGGATTGCACAGCATAAGGCGAATCTGCCTGCGCAGAGCGAGGTGCCTGCAGTTGTCTGAGTGTTACAGGGTCGCGCAACCTGAGGACATCGAGCGGCAGAACTGGACCTATGGTGTCACCATTCACTACGACTGTGCCGTGGCCTCAGCCTGGGCTCGATCGCGCGTGCATGCCCCTCGCTCGGGAGGACAAGCCCGGATACCGGGGCGATCTCAGTGCCGAGTGTAACCTCACCGGGCCTCCTGGCCGCAACCGGTCGGCAGCAGACATTTGCGTGTGAAACTAAGAAAGCAGGACCTGGGTGGTCCACGGATCCTGCGTGGAAGTGACCTGCGGCCTTCCGCCGGAGGAATTTGGCGGCTTTGAACAGCAAGCGGCCCTTACGGCGTGCAAACTGACCTCAGCCCCCATGGCAGCTATGGCAGGACGTTCCGCACGCCCACGCCGTCTTGGACCCAAGTCACAGCAACATCAGCACAGGTGCGCGCTTTCTTTTGCGCGCTGAAAGCAGCAAGAGTGTCCCTGTCTTCCCTGCCTCTTCCATCTTCCCCCTTCCACAAGGCATGGTCGTTCGCTACCAGTGTGACGAGGCCAGGCAAGGCCAGGCCACAACCCTGGAGCCTTTCGTGGACTCGCAGACTCGTCAGATGTACAACGGAACCCCAACGGCGACGTGCGGCGATGACGGCATGTATGTCAAAGCAGGCGCAGGGGCCCGGCAGGGAGCCTCGGGAACCCGGCAGTGCAATGCGCCACTCAGGCCGCTGTCGGCGAGAATGTGGTGCACCCCCGGCCGTGTCGCACTTCGGTGGAAATGAAGCAGTGCAGCCGGAGGGGTGCAACTCTTGCCGGCATCCTTGTGTTGCTGCAAAGCTCCGTCCACCAGCAGTCTTTCGCGTTCTCTTTCACATCGCCTTGAGTGGGTTCTCGTTCGTTCCTTCTTTCCCCTTCTCCTTTCGTCTTTCTTGTTTTGGGACCCTCTTTGTTGTGGTCGAGGCATGCCGCTCCGAGGCGCGTGCCCACAGCCCCCTCTCCTGGTTTCCGCGCCGTCGCAGCTTCTGTGGAGGTTCAACAACTCCGGTATCCTGGGCGGTTGGTTCGAGGGCATGCAGTGCCCCTACTCCTGCGATCCAGGCGTCCGATTGTTGTGGGGGAGCTTCTGTCCACTTCACGCACTTCTGTGCCGTATGCCGAATGCTCTTCTCTCTTCTGCACAGGCTTTCATGGCTTCGCCTCCGCTGTGTGCATGGAGGCCGAGAGTAGACTCTCTGCAGCTATCCCTGTGGAGCCCTGTCCAGGATGGTGGCTACAACGTCTCTGGGCGGTGTGCACCCGTCTCCTGCGGTCAACCTCCCAGGCTGCCAGAGGCCGGACAATGCCGGAAAGATGGGTCGATTCTGATTCGAAATGCGCTTTCCCTCTCCCCCGAAATCTTTGCCACTGCGAGGCCACAGCACGCATGGATGACATGAAGGCCGCTGCAAGCCGGAATTTCACCTTCGGCGTGCATGTCCGCTATGCATGCAACCGGCCAATGCTTCTTGTTCACCACAGAAGATTAGGTGGGTTTCGTTTCGGGAGGACTCAGAGTGCTTGTGGTCTTGTGTTGGGAAGGGAGGATCTTCTGCTTCAACTGTAGTTGCACTCGCAGCAAGTGGCAAGTGATTCCAGGAGCATGGTTTTCGCAGCAATCTCCAGACGCAAGAGCATGTGAGAGCGCAAGACACGAATCAGGTTCCATGGAGAATTGGTGGCCAAATGCCACCCGGCCTTCAACGAAAAGACGATGCTTCTGTACACCTGCTACGGCTTGTTTAAGCTTTCTCTGCTCCTGAAGTTGTCGACCCTTTGGAACAAAGCTCCACTCATCGCTTCCATCAGGGGCGCTGAGCGATCCAGCTAGGTGCTTCCGTCTTTGCCTAAAGACTTTAAAGAGGGGCTGCTGGCTCAGGCCGCACTGGTGTCACAAAGTCACACACGTGGGAAACACATCAGCTTACAAAGTGGAGACTCCTAAATTCAATTGTTTTCGCTCTCGGGTGTTAGATTGTCCCGAGAACTCACCATCCAGCAATCCCGAGAGCGTTGAGTGAAGTTGTTGATGAACGAATCTGAGTTTGTTCGAGAGTCTTCTCAGTTATGTCCTTTAGCAAAGTGGCTACCAAACATGTCTTACGCCTTTCCTTTGCTGTTTGATTGTCAAGTTGAGGCAATTCCACGAGCTTGTGGGTGATCTCCGGCCAGTGCACCCAGGCATCCACCACAGCAAACCTGCTTCTCTCGGATGCATGGATCAGTTTTCTGAAAGGTCACGTGTGGAGATGCACCAGCTGTGCCGCATGCGAAGCCAGTGGCCACCGAGGACAACATGATGCTTGGAATTCTCCTTTGGTGTCCTTTGAGGGTTTGCATCGACATGCAGAGCGCATACATGCATTGATTGAAGCAGTACGGTGGGCTGTTTGCATCAGCTGAGGACGGCAGGAAGTGTGACTTTGCCTGCACCTGGACGAAGGTGTTGCAAGTACTATACCCTCTCAAGCAAGTGTGCGGTTCACGGCAAGGTTCATGCTGACGCTGTGACCCTGTCCTCGCCTAGATTTTAGTTTGGCCGGCTTGCCATAAGGTGCTGCGATACCAATGTGATGACTCGTACAACGGAACACCCACTGCTGCCTGCGGCTTCGATTCTCGACTTCCAACAAGTATCGGAGATTTGCAAGCAGACCATTGAAGCCTTCGGTGTGTTGCATAAATTGAAGCGTTTGTCAGCATGGCGTGAAGCGCCAACAATGCAGATGATGCAGTTGCTGTTGGAGCTGTGCCATGTCATGACATCTGAGCTCCAGGGATCCAGTGAATGGTCGGCGAGAGTAGGGATTGGGGCTCGCAGCTGAGATTTAAATTCTTCAAGGAATTATTAGAGATTGGGCCACTGCCATCTGACTTACAGTCCGGAGAACAGCGCGCACCTAGAACTGTGTATGTAGCTTTCGTTGAAGCTTGATCCCAGACCTCAGCCCCACTTAGGATGGCCAGTTCGTTGTCTCCGGCCGTTGCCGTCGGCAGTGTGGTGTGCCGCCATCTGTGCCCTGCCAATAGTTTTGTCGCTCCAAAAAAACTTGCTCCATGTTGCGATGCGTCGCAGGTGCAACATGCCGTGCCAAGCTTCAATCATGAAGCATTGGCCGCCGGATGGTTGTCAGGCCTGGCCTGAAAAGCAATGGTCATGATCCATAAGTCCATGGTCTACATAGTGCTTGCGGGAGGAGGATCCTCAAAGATACGGCAACCCGTATTCTAAGAATCCGGAACTGGATGCTGCATGCCTTTTGCTCGCCAGGCATGGGTGCTTCATACCGTTGCGATCCGGGGTTTGACGGTGCTGTCACGGCCATGTGCGGCGATGATGGGAACTTCTCGATTGAAGGTCCGGCCGAGAGCTTTTCTTGCTTGGGGGGATGCTTGGAAAGCTGTGCTTGGCTTTGAGGTCTCTGCAAGGTCGCCTCGGCTGTGGAGACCAATCGACTGCGCTCGAGCATCACCGGGCTGTCAACTGCCATTGGTGTGGAAAACGCTTTGATCCTGGCGGGCCTCGGATTCTTTGGCTGGCAGAGGCGCGCTGCACGGTTCCCGCACGCTGCAAGCTTCCTCTTTAGGGCCATCACCGTCGACGAAGTGTCATTTGTCGCTACCGCAAGCTCCAAGGTACCGCTTAAGCACACGGAATGTGGCGAATCCGGCGAACGAGATGTCGCTCAGCTGTCACGTTTCATGTTTCCCGAGTCTCAAGAGCTCAAGCAAGGCGCCTTGTGCATTGTCCATGAGGTCATCGCCAATCTGCCCGGACGCGGAGCGGCCTGCAGCGAGTGACTAAGGAAGCCAGCCATTGCTGGGTAGCCAGATGCCCAAGTATGCAAGCTCGGGACTGGCAGTGTGCAAAGAAACCTACACGGCTTGGGCAAAAAACCGTCTCCCAATCTTTTGCCCTCGCCCGTGCTGTACAAAAATGGTAGGCCCAGCCCGTTTTAAAACACTTGTTTTAAAACAATCTAGAGAGGAGCGGTGTGTCAGCTAGAGCTCTTCGCATCAAAAGTGTATGCCTTTCGACATGAGGGAATTCAGTCCAATTGAGGCGACTGCACTGCGGCCTCGAGTGCGTTTCGAAGCCGTTGCTCACAGGAGTGTGTTGAACTGGTAGGGCAGCTTGCCGAAACAAATCGCTTCAGCAGCAATGGCCGACGCTGCGTCGCAGGACTT